ACCTAGGTACTGATGCAATTAAATAAGCTATGTTAAGGCATCTTTCTTATAAATCATTGAATGTCCTTGTCCTTCTTAATCTATTCAATAGAGCATGGAAGAAAAATATTAAGTTATAAAGTGCTGAAAAAATAAATTGCTGCCTCATGTACTATCTGGAGAAAAATAATGTAACCTCTGCTTATCAGAGTGGTTTCCATGAAGGTAGAACAAACTTAGACAACATGCTTCATTTAGAAATGTCTATCCATGAAGCTTTTGTAAACGAAAATACTTGATTTTGGTATTTTTGGCTATGGAAAAGGCATATGAGGGAGCCTGGAGATAGGGCATTTTACGGGATTGTAATGACAGTGGCTTGCACAGGAATCTGCTAGTGTTCATACAGGAGTTTTTGAAGGCTGGGACTTTTCAAGTGAGAATTGGTTCTGTGTAGTCAGATGTTTACTGTAAGGAAGTACGTATGCCCTGGAAAGTGTTTAATCTGGAGTCAAATTTTTAGGAGTGATGTTTTACTGAAAACTTGCATTCCTTTATTGCTATGCTCTGTGTATATTGGGCACTAGTGTGCTCAATATACACAGAGCTGGATTGTGGTTTGGTTTGTATTATTGGAACTAGATCCAGTTCATAACAGAACTTCCAAATATATACCATAACATTTATAATATCTCCTGTTGAGAGTTTGTATATTGATAGCTTTGAACCATTGCTTCAGTTAAGACATTAACATTTATCTCTGCATCATTATTTCAGTGTGCTGTCACAACCAGAACTCCCGGTAAGATTATTTTGCTTGATATGTATGTCCACTTGTTTGAAGCACAGTTATACTGTGTGCCTTCTTTCCCTTCAAGAATCCAGTTACTGATTGAAGAGTGTTTCTTATCTGATGTGAATACCAAAGTAATTAAGGATTTTTAAATCACATCATGGAAAAATCAATCTTAATGTTTTCCATCAATCATCAATTTGATAAACGGAATACTATAGAGGTCATTTATCTATAAACAGCTTTTACTTGAGCATAGGTTTAACTATAAAGCAGTTAAATTCTCATATAAATAGATGGTACAAAAGCAACTGGTCATGTTGGAGCATCCTTTATGACTGGAAACTAAAACAAAGGGTAGATATTTGCACGAGGCTTGCTCAGAACTGCTTTGTGTTATGTTCTTTCATATGTGTCTCACCTAAACCAGAGAAAGTTTATAATTTATACTTACCCATATAGTGCAATTAAAGCTCTAGAAACATTTTCAGACATACAAAATGCTGTAGTCGCTAAAGTTGTAAAGCTAAATTTAAATTTGAGGAGGTGTGGATATCAATTTCTTTACTGCTAGATTCCTGGAACGAACATCACTGTAAAGTTTGTAGTTGATTTATCAATTCAGCTTATTTTTGATGGATATTATTAAGCTCATCAAATAGAAAATCTTAAACAAATGACAGCAAATCATTAACACTCAGCTTCATAATTAGTTTAGAATAGTGAAAACTATTTTAGAGTACTGGAAGGCTCCTGGAAACTGGAGGGAGGAATTTTTGTTAACTAATCTAGGAATCAACCATCCTTGAGTTACTTACAACTCCTTTTTAAAAGCTGAGAGTCAGCTTGTTAGTTCCATTTGTAAAGCAATTCTGTCTGTATGTCACTTTTTGATTGAGTTTCCGAGTTTCAGTATACTTTGATTGAAACATTTTTAGATTCAGATTTATTTCAGTATATAAGAGAGACTGAATTGTATAATTTAACCTGAATTGACTTTAATGAGTTTCATTTAAATGTATTCAGAGATGTATTTTAGGTACTGAAATTTTATCAGGTTTTTATACATGTATTCATCCCGTTTTTACTCATATGATCCACATGTTTTATAACTTATTTTTAACAAGATATGCTGTAATTGCCACATGTTTGACACATTATAACCCTGTGCACCATTAAACCAACAATCCATCCATCCACAGACTGCACTAAAAATTCGATGTAGAATGCAGAATAATTGGCTTTATTTTAGAATAATAAATGAGGAACCTTTCTTCTCTTACAGAAAAAAAAAAAAAGGTTATTCAGATTGTTTTATAAAAAAATTTACTTCAAATTAATGTAAGATTTTTGTGTGTTTTACTAATATTTTTTTCACTTAATAAATTAACCGTATTTTATAAAGCTTAAAAATGTGTAGTATATATGTAATTTGTGATTAAGTAAACTTGATATATCTGTTGGAGGGCAGTTTTGAGCAGTTACAGGTTTGTTGCAAAACGTTCTGCTTTGGGGCTAACATACTGTTTTAGTAAGCTTAATCAGTTAATCACCCTTGTGATGACTGTATGTGAAATAATAACCCCAGTGTAGCTCAAGCTTGCAATTCTTATCATTAAATAGTTCTTAGTACATGTGCTGATGACAGTGACCTTACCTACTATGAATGAGAGGCAACATAAACTTGAGTATCCCCATTTTTGTATCGATGGCTCTGCAATCAATGCAACTAGGCAGACTTTTTATAAAGCAATTTAAACTTTATATTTCAAGTTCTTGATCTAACAGTTTGGTGAAGAGATCCCTGATCTTTTAATGTTATTTAGAATAGGTTAAAAAAAGGGGTTCTATAATTTACATTGGTTTAGAGATTATAATTAGGTACAAAGTGAGATATCTGGAATCATTCAATGATTCCAGATATCGATGATTCCAGATATCGATGAGTTTCGGATGTTCTGGAGTTTAGGTCTTCACTTTAAATCTCATGAGGTGACATGTAGATATTATAAAATTAAAATATTGTTTATTAATATTTCTCTATGAAAGATGTATTGGGCATAAAGAAAGATTTTTTCTGAATTACCATCACATGAAATTAAAATGTGACTCGAAGATGACATGGTGATATTTTCTGGATTTAAAACCATACTAAGGTTTTTGCCATTCTATTAACTCAGTGCTCCACAACCTTTTCTCACCTGCAACGCACAAAAAATCTTTCTGGAATTTCGTGGCACACCAAAGAGTTCCGAGTTATCAAGGAAGTGCCGAAAAAATTCAAATGCTGACACACTTACAATCACACACACAACCACACAACAGTGAAATATATAAAAACATTTAAAATAGACATTATTAAGGGAAAAAAATTGTCATTGTGTATTAAATACATGATAAAAAATTGCAAAATGTCAAATACATGTATTTGATTGCGGCACACTTATATCCTACTCATGGCACACCGGTTGCGGAGCACTGTATTAACTGATTGGTGATTGAAGCATTGTCATCACAGTTTAAGACTTCAGTTATATTACCTCATTCAGCATGTCTTTGTATAGTCCATTAATCTGATAATTTTGCTTTTTAGTAGATATCCAGAAGCCTTCAGATTCATGTTTATCATCATCATGAAATTTGTTAGCTGGCTATAAATTATACTAAGCATTTAAAAAAATATCTCTAGATACAAGTACAGTAAGACCCCGCTTAACGCTGTTTCGGTTTAGCGCTCTTTTATTTCAACCCGGGGATTCCACGAAATTGCTCGCAGCATACGGGGATTCCCCGAAATATTATGCAGCGATAGGTTTCAAATACATATCCGAACGAGTGTACTTGTATTTCTCGTTTGGTGCGGTATTGTACAGACATATTTTGAAGGGGTAAATGTGGAAGATGTCGAAGAAATAATTCAAGAAGCAGCGGCTAGTCTTTCTAATGATGAGCTCAAGGAATTAACTGAACAAGAAGAAAACAAAAATGTTGACAGCAGTGATCAGAAGAGAGCAAAAAGAACTTTCGATGGCTTTTGTAAAAAGGAGTTGTCTACCATAACTGAAATAATGGAACAATTCATTGAAAATGATCCGAATTTTGACAGGAGCTCAAAAGTAAGGCGTGGTGTTAGAGATGCTCTATCCGTTTATGAAGAACTTTTAAGAGAACAACGCAAAAGAAAAAGGCGAACAACATTAGATGCTTTTGTCACAAAAAGGCAGAACACTGAAAACGCGGAAGGCTAACTAAATATGACTGTTTTTTTTAAGAATATTCGTTTTGTTATTTATATTTTGTTTTTATTTTTGCAAGAAATAATAATGTGGTATTAATTTGGGCTTTAAGAAATAAATGTTTGGTTTTATTTTTATTAAAAAAACATACTTTTTAAATTTAATACCTAACCAATTTCCTAGCCATCTTCCCCTAACCCCAATATTTACATGTAAAGATAGCCTCGTTTAGCGCTGTTTCGCATTACGCTCTACTTTGATGGAACGTATCCCCCGCGTTAAGCGGGGTCTTACTGTACTTCCAGATCTCATAACCTTGCAAAGCACTTCTCATATTAGATTGTGCATTAAAATGCTTCTAGAATTCTTGAATGGTCTTCAGTGTCATTTTTTAAAATGCTACTTTATATATACATTTCAGTGCATGTAAAATTCCAATATCCATTGTTTGTTTGATAAATGTACACTCTCAGGGGATGGATATTGTCCATTCATAATAATATTTCTTAATTCAGTATATTTTACCAGAATGAGTATATTTCGTTGAGAAATAAGAAGCACCTGTGAATGACCAAGCTCCATAGTTGCTACAAACTATAGAGTTTAAACTGGTAATGATTATTTTAAATTGTATTGGACTGACTGATGGTTTTGAGTTGTGAACTTTCTGAATACACAAGCATATCCAGAGATGGACTTTGGGATGGTTTTGGGACAGAGAACAACAGCAGATTGCTTTGGGCTTAGAGATATCAAGTTTTTATTTTTGCTTTGTTTTGTGGTGGCACCAGCTCTTGGCTGTTACCAGAGGCTTGAAAGAGCAGTACTAACTAACTAACTATATGAATAGAAAATTAATAGTTTGTTTATGAATTTGTAAAGTTATTTAAAAATTTAGTTCTTGTAGTTGAAATTAACGGGATTGTCTTTTCCCTTGTATTGAAGTGTTTGTAGATCTATTGTACTATTTAATAAATTATTGCAATTTATAGGTATTTGATTGAACATGGGGCCAATGTTGCTGCGGTTAATAATGATGGTGATCTTCCAATTGATATTGCAGAATCAAGTGAAATGGAAGAGTATCTTTCAAATGTACTTGATGAGCAAGGTAGTCATTTTCTGTTTTTTTTTTAATTGAAAAACTTTGAAATGTTGAAATATTTTAATTATTTTTTAAATTGAAGTTTACTAGTTTTACTTTTGTATTTTTATAACAACAGTTTTATCTTCAGAATCAAAAGTGCTAGAGTGTTTGTACATTAATATTGAGGCATGGATTTTATAGGCATTGATTGTGATGAAGCCAGGTCAGAGGAAGAGCATATAATGTTGGAAGATGCAAAGCAGATGTTAAACTCCAATAAATATCAAGATCGAATCCATCCACGCACAGGTGCTACTGCACTCCATGTTGCTGCAGCGAAGGGTTATATAAAAGTTATGAAGTAAGTACTGAGGTTTTAGAGCCTTAGTGAAAGTTGAAACTCAGATATAAAAAGTAAAGGCGTTTAGTCAAATGATAAACACCTAACTTTAGCATTTCTATATCACGCTTTTTAATTCTTGTTTTAACAGTAAGCTTTCTTGAATTATTTTTTGAAGTAAGCGTTTAGTCAAACGATAAATACCTAACTTTAGCATTTCTATATTTCTATATTATGCTTTGTAATTCTTGTTTTAACAGTAAGCTTTCTTGAATTAAAAGTCTAAATAAGGCCTGTATATTTAGCCTTATTTAAATTTAATACACCAAATAAATCTTTTAGCTCTGAATTTTTCCTTTTATCATTGTTGTTTTCCTCATTTATATTTGTGATTTCTCGTACTTCTGTAATTCATTATTAAATTCAATTTTTCAGCATTTTAATTCAAGTTGGAGCAGATTTAAATGCTCAAGATAATGACGGTTGGACTCCACTCCATGCTGCAGCTCACTGGGGCCAGAAAGAAGCCTGTGCTGTCCTAGCAGACAATTTAGCTAATATGGATATACAGAATTTTGCAGTAAGTTAACTAAATGTGTTATATAACATTACTAAACGAAAACCTCATTAATTTTATTCCTCTTATTCATTATTCAGTGTGTAAAATTTGCCACATGTTGACTACATTGATGTCCATAAATTAAGAGTCAAATATATTTTCATAGAAATATGTGTCTTAATGTAAGAGGGTGATACTGCAAACATTTTAATGTGAAGTAAAGATAAAAAGGGAAAAATGTATCTGCATAAAAATGTATGCAGATACACAGGGAAGAAAACATTGTTTGGTTATTTACAAGCACACAAAATGACAAATGAAAGGAATAAAGTTGCATGGAAAAATTTGTTATCGTTGACTGTAGTTCTGATTCACATCTTAGAAGATCCCGAGGAAGGTTTTGCCATTTCACTTTCAGTGCCATGACTTTTTTTGACTCCTCAGGGAAATTTTATTCTGTAATGCATCTTCCAAAATGTTCTTTGGGATTTGATTTAACGACATTTATAGGCCTTTCCATTTGGTATATTCCTTCACTTTGCTGCAAACCAGAGCACAAGATTAGGCATGATAATAGACATTATTAAGTATAATTGAACAAATCTTTACTACTTGGAAATACAGTAACATCCTGACAATATGTTGAGCTGTTGTGGTTTCTCTTTCAAACACCCAACACAGAATTATTCTTATCAGCTCTGTAGCAGTCAATTTGAATGATGTTTCCAAAAGAATAGGAATTGGGGAGTTATATTGTATATACTATTGTTTAGGGTAACTTGACAAATAAAATATTAATTTGTGAGTTTAATTAAATTAATAATTAAAGTTTTTAAAAGTCGCTGTTTATCAATATAATTAAAAAGTTTATGATTCTGTCTATTATAATTTACTTTGCATGTTTGAGTATATGGATTATACCCTACTGGTTTGCATTCACTCAAGCCAGCTTGGTTCAAATGCCTGTAAATTCTGGTCTCCATGCTTGAGTGCAGCTTTTGTGCTAATATGATATCCTTTACCACTGTATGGTGACATGTAATGATATGCTGCCAATATTGTACTTTTTGTTTAGCCAACACTGCTGTACATTCCTTTAGCTGATCCACTTCTTAAAAACTGTTTTAAAAACTCTTTGGTGGATGCGAGCCAGTTTCCCTTAGAAAGTAATCCATAAAAGCACACCCTTTAAGTCGATAGCTGTCATGTGCTTTGCCGTAATTAAAAAAAAACCCAAATGAAATCAAAACTGTTTGAACTTCTGCCAATTTTAAAACAGTTTGCTATGTGTTGCATTATTTGTCCTACTCCAGATTTACCAATTAGTTCTACCTTAAAATTACCCAGCATTTGCAGAATTGATGACCAGTTAGTGATGCCTGTGGAAAATGCCAGTCAATCCTGTTGTCAGTTCTGCTGCTTGCTTTTGCATTCAAATTTTTTGTTTTGTTTCTGATATGCAACTTATTGGCATAAGCAAATTTTTGTTAGTGTGTTTTATCTGTTGTCATTACTTCCTTTTTGTTTAAAAGCAACTTTCTTGGTTTCTGCCCTTGATATGAAAATTAATGGTGCGAAAAATTTGAATTTTTATACATAGAATGCCAGCTATTGGAGATTGTTGTGCATAATTACTTAAGGAAAATAAATCTTACACTTCTAATAATACTTAATTGGTAGTTTTAGTTGTAACGAAACTATGAATGTAAATAATATAAAACTATGAATATAAATTTGAATATAAATATTGGAATACTATGAATATAAAAATTAATATTAAAATCTGTCATTGTAATGTCTTTGTAGTTATTTCTCTTATTTGACTTCATGTATGAATGAAATATTTGATTTGTTTTATTTTTTGGGGGAAAGAATGGAAATAAGTTTCATAACAATTTTTAACACATACATATATGCTGTAGAACTTTGTAGTTTGTGCTGCTATGTCAGTTAGTAACTTCCTTTTGATTCCTTGTTAATTCATAGATTAAAAAAATATTTTAGCTGAAAGAATTGATAATGAAAGGCTGAACAATTGATAAAAAAAAAGAATCAAAAGAGTTGTTTTTGAATTGGTTCTTTGATTAAATACTTTTACTTTATAGTGACATGTAGTTTCATTTGCCATTGTATTTCTTGCTTCTGTAGTCTTCTTATGGAGAACACGGTAGAATAAAATATTATGTGACACTTTGCATAATTTGAATGTAAAATGTGTAATGTTTTTAAGAATATCTATGTTAAGTAAATTACTGTACGTAAGTAAATAATGTTATTTTGTATTTTATTGTAGGGGCAGACTTGTTTTGATGTTGCTGAACCAGAATTAGTTAAATTGTTAGAAGAATTGAAAAAAAAGCAAGCATCTGTAAGTATTATTGTCTCCTAATAATTATTTTCAGAAAATGCATTTCTGAATACTGGAACAGTAATTTCCTAAAATGTTTTAATTAAAACTGGTTTGCCACACTACCTGAAAAACTGGGAAAAGTCACTGAATTTTAAAATTGATCAAAAAAGTAAGGAAAAGTCAGGAAATTAAAAAAATTTCACGAAAATCTGGAAAAATCAGGAAATTCATACACTGATTCCCATAATCAAAAAAAAGTGATTCTCACGTCATTGCGGAAAGCGATCACGTTCTTGGCGAATTATGTAGCATGTGAGTGTCATTCCGGAAGTATCTAGAGACTCGCATGAGCAGTGCATATTGAATGAAAGAAAATTGCCACCATTCTCATATAAAAAAAATATTGTAAAAATTTTTTTTTCTTTTTAATAAATGCTTTATTTATCATTTTGAAGTAACACATTTTTTTATAAAAAGTTATCTAACCTAACTATTTAATATACCCATATTCGCCAAACTACCATTGATTATTGTAATTCAGTTTTTAACCTTTAAATAACTTTATTTTAATGTTATTCGTATTATTTAATGTGACTTCTTCCTTCTAAATTTATTTATTATTAATTAAAATAATACTTTCAATTATTAATTATTAATTTCAATTTAATTAATAGTACTTTTAAATTTCAGGCAATTTTCTCTGGCATACTCGTGAAACTAATTCTAGCAGCATAACATACTGTCACGAAATTTAGTGGACATATTTTTTTACTTATGTATGCTGCTAAGTAAATATAAAATACTTAATTTAAAAATATCATTAAATAGATTTCTTTCTTTTCATTAGCTGCAAAATGTCCGCAAAAAAGAGAACATCTTTTAATCCAGATTGGGCAGATTCTAATCTCAGTCCTCGGTGGAAAAAACAACTCCTGTTGTAGTTATAATAGTAATGCTTTGAAGATTATATATAAACTTAAAAATCATTCAAGAAGTTAGAAATCTTAATTTACAATATTAACTGTCATGACTTTAAAAACCTCTACATGTCTCTTTCACTTAAAGAAATCTATGAAAGTCTTTTAGAAATGACAAAATTTTTTCCTTAAGTACTTAATGTTCTGGATTTACAAAAATGGAAGGAACTTCTACATTTTTCACTGAACAATAACTACACTAAACATTCAAAATTCCTCTACCTACAAATACAAGGAACAATGGGACGTTGATATTCAACTCATCTTTGTAACTTATTTCTATTTTCTAAAGAATTTAAATTCCTAAGCAGCCTTTCTGATAATGATTTCAGTAAATTTTAATACACTTATAGATATATTAATGCCATTATAGCTTTCAACAATTATAACCTCATCAAAAATAGCAATATCTCCCTAAGCTATCTAAAACTTAAGACCAATAAAAACCAATCAAAAATAGTTGATCATGATCTTAGTATTCATAAAGTTAAAGAAGTTAAACTGTTTGATAAAAGAAAAGAAATTTATTTTTCTATCATTAAACTTGTTATTACAAATACCATTATTAGCCGTATTAGCAGAATTTAAAAAGCTTACATTGAAATAAAAACACAAAAAGAAAAAATTACAGTTCTCACCAAAATTTTAAGAGAAAATGAAGTTCCTATAAAATTCATCAAGTCTTTTAAATAAAACCTGGCGTAGTTTACACCACTGTAATACTTTTTAAAAGGATGATCACCTAATTTTCCAGTTTTTTATTTTTAGCTTAAGCAAAATGTTTCCCAGCAATAAATGAAGTGTATTGAATTAATGAAACTTAAATTAAGCAAATTCCATTCCTCGACTTTTAGTGATTTCCAGAATAATTTTCCTAATTACATTTTATCTGAATTGTGTTTTTCCCATTTTTGTTGTAAAATTTTCCATATTAAATTTCATTTGATGAGAGTTATCTTAATCTATTGTAGACAACTGTAGATTTTTATATGAAGATAAACACTGTTTAATCAGTTAATATTTTTGTATTTTATTTTTTTCAATATATGGGTTACATTACTAACTTTATCCCCACAAATATTATGTACATTAATTATTAATTGTATTTTCATTGTATTTAAAAGTACTCTGATAAAAAAAAAGCTTTCCTTCACTACTTGATATTTTCTCAGGATGAAAGTTTTAAAATTTTAAAATGAAATTAGCCAGAAAACATAAAATTTAGAATGTCCAATTAAATTTTAATATATTTTACATCAGAATTGTATTGCAAGTAAAAGAACTGCTCTGAATAATGGACACTGAAAAAAGGAATTGAAAAATAAGTAGAGAAATAAATAAAAATTGAAATACTCTTTGCTGGTTATATGAAGTTTCAAAGGCAAGCTTGTATTCTGTGATAGTTTTGTGACAAGAGAACAATAAAATAAATGAAAAGTTAATCCCTCTCTTTTGAAAACTGCTTTTTGGTAAGGGGAAAAATATATTGGAAAAAAGCAAGTTGCTGGGCAATCAAAAGGGTATTTCACATTCGCTGAATTCAAAATCTAGTTATTCTTGCTACAGTTCTCAGTAGGGGGAAGAAAACAGTGTTAGCAAGTTGTAAAGCAATCTACAGACAGGAAGCAATGGGAGAAAGAAGGTGGTAAGGTGACTGAATACTTGCCAAGGCACAGAAATCTTACAATGTGGATATGCTAACTTATCGCTAATATGCATATGGTAACTTACATTTGTTAAAATGCATTACACACTGTTGCCTCAAAATGCACCTCTCAGTTAAAAAAATTCAAGTAACTGTAAGTGATTGTAAGATTATGATTGACTTCACGAGGAAGAAAGTGCTTCACGAGGAAAAAAGTGCTTCACGAGGAAAAAGGAGATATTAATAAATATATATCAAATTGAATTAACACTGATGAGCTAAAATCTTGACAGCTAACTTTTTAAAAATTACTCAAGCGATTTTTACAAAACTTGGCAGTTTACCATAATTTGAGTCATCAAATCAGAATATGGAAAAAATGTGGCATGTTCACGAGGAAGAAAGTGCTTGCGATGCACAGTTTTTCAAACAAACCCCTGGATTATTTTCAATAATTTTCGGCAAGTACAAAACTCTGTTGTTCATTTGATGCATTTTTGCAATAGTAAAACTTTTTTAATAAAGAATTTTCATTTTTTTGTTAAACTTTAAATTCAAATAAGTACCTATGACTATGTTACTTATTCGTGTATAATTTACTTAAAGCTTGATACAACCTGAATTTCTGATTAAATTACATTTTTTAGTATGTATGCTCTGAAGAAGGGATGCCCCTATTTAAGGGACAAATTGTGTAGTCCGAAAGGTGTCCCTTATCTGGAGGTACTACTGTAGTTGATGAGTTATTCATTGTAACCAATTGAAAGTCAATCTGGAGTTCAGTTGCAATAGTGTTGTTGCTCAACATCATAACCTTGCAACTTGTCCTAAATTTCTTGCAAAAATTTTTTCCCGTTGTTTAAGATTTTAAGGTTGGCAGCTATAGTTATACAGTACAATGTTATGCTTAGTTGATAAAAAAAGTTTTCTGGGTATTTTTTTTTTCCCTTGGAAAAGGCTTCTTGTGAATAAAAGTGTTAAAACAGAATAATTTACACCAATCTTTTCCCCAATCTGATACTTACAGTCAACTCCTGACTGACTTGGCCCTGCCTAAAGAAAAGTTTATTGTGAAATGGTGGGAAATTTTTTATCACAGACCGTTAGTATAAAATAAAGATTTCCATGAAAAATAGAAAAAGGAAAAGAAAATTGCCTTGGCTAATAGCAGTGATAGATGATGTCTCAGAATTCAGTTGTTTTTATCCATAACAGCGCACAATTTAATTATGCACTGCATGCAAAAAAAAGGGGGGACAGTTGTATATATCCCATTCTACAGGGCCGATGGACGAAATTCAACTTGCGTTTTTCATGTCTCGAAAGCGTGACTTAGGATATGTATTCGATTTTTATATAGCATTGTTTTATTATAGATATTTTGGTTTGGTTTATTAGATTATGGCAAAGCACTCGAGGGCTATCTGCCTTAAGGGAGGGATGCCTTCGTGGAGGACATTTTAAGGGAAACTGGCTCGTATACACGTTACACATTGGGAAAACCACGAAAACGCCCATGCAGCCAGCCCGTTCGTGGGATTCGAACCTCGGACCGAAGTACCAGTGTTCAGCGACGTTACCGCTCGGCCGCTGGTGGGCCCTATATATAGATATTTTGACAGACTTTTTCTTAAATGACATGCCAAATTTTTTCCACATTTCGATTCTCCGACTCAAATTATGCCAAACTGCCAAGTTTTGTAAAAATCGCTTGAGTAGTATTAAAAAAGTTAGCTGTCAAGATTTTAGCTCACCAGTGTTAATTCAATTTGATATATATTTATTAATATCTCCTTTTTTATGAAACTTGATTTCTTCTTCCCGAATTCAAAATTTAGGCTTAATCCAAATTTGCACATATTTATGATTTATTTTTAAAATTTGTATTTTAAAAATATTTTTTATAAATTTTTAAAAAACATTTTGAATTATAACCTATAAAGTTTTGTCATGATCTTAAAGTAGATGTGTTTATAAGCATACCTGCAATAATTTAGTGTTTTATTCAAAATTTTCTAAGATATACGCATATTTATGTCTTGCCGTGTTTTGAAATTTGGCATATATGTTATAAGCGATAATAATGTCGAATATGGTTTATGCACTTTTTAAAAATTATTTAAAAGTACGAATGATGACCTTTTTTCTGCTCATGTACGCAGAAAAAAGTACAATGAAAAGAAGGAATCGTGTACAATGGAAAAAAGGAAAGGAAAATGGGTTTCTATAAATTTAGAAGTTCGCCAAGTGAATTACTCTTGGCACAAACCGGGGGGGGGGGAATGCGGCAAGATAGCTATTTAAATTTCTCCATACATTTCTCACCAAAAATTACAAAATTTAATATCTATGCACAATTTGAGTCAGAGAATCGAAATGTGGAAAATTTGATATGTTATTTCAGAAAAAGTCCGATTTTGTGTCAAAATATCTATGTTAGAATAATGCTATATATAAATCTATTGTATATCCTAAGTTGCGCTTTGAGGCATGAAAAACACAATTTAAATTTTGTCAGTTGGGCCAGTAAAACGAGATACAGAACTGTCCCCCTTTTTTGTGCATTGTATATAATGTAAACATTGTTAAATCATCCATTAAATTTGAATTGCTGAATTTAAAAGATAAATCAAGGTGCACAGCCATGAATCTTCTATTTTGCACTGGCCTCTATTAAAATGCAAAAGCTTTGTACTAAAAACAAATAGTATTAGCACTGTGAAGTGAGGAAAAACTTAGTAACGGGAAGAACTCTTTCATTGTGTAACTAGAGGAAATAATTCTCCAGATTTAAACTGCTTAAAAATGCATGTAAAATTGCATGTAAATTATTGACAATATAATTTATACTATCTCTAGTATGGACTATTCATCTTTATTTTCCTTTTTAGTCTTTGAGTTAACATCATTTGAGTGGACATCGTTTTTGGTAAAGCGAGGATTGGAGGGTTGAGCTGAAAAATATGACTGAGTATTGAATTCCATAAGCCTGCAGAATATTCCATATTAATTGAGTGGCCTTACTTTCTGGTACTCATTCACAATTATATTGTATTATATTCAGCTGGATTTGTGTTTCAAAATGCTTTACATGGCATCTCATATGGCATACATTGATAATATTCAGATCTGGTAACTTAGGTGACCATGGCAATTTCTCAAATTTGTATCAGTTTTTCTATTCTTAATTTGGTGTTTTTAGATTTTTATTGTCCTCCTAAAAGTTCACAAACGATTGTTTTGGACATAAGCATGTGTAACTCATTGAAAAGAATACGTGCAATAATGTTCACCTGTCAGATCTGTAGGTTAACCTGATGCTGCATGATATGCTGACCAAATAAACTCCATAGCATTATGGACCAGGTAGGTGTAGATATGTAGGATTGTGTGGGTTTACTGACATATTTCTGTAGGTGTCCTTTCATCTGAAGAAAACAGAAATAGAACTCATCAAATTAGTATGTGAGTGATAGTTTCTGAACACTGGTAGTTTGGTTCAGGGCTCAAATCCCAGTAAATGGTCTGTCTGCATGGCCATTTTAATGGTTTTCCTCATGTCTAATGTGTGTACGAACCAGTTTCCCGTAGAAAGTCCTCCACGAAGGAATTCATTTTTTTAAGCAGATAGCCCTTGAGTGATTTGCCATAATCATAAACCACACCCATGTGAGTATTTTGGTGCATGCATGAAGTACACAGCTCTGCGTCATGCATTTATAAGAAAACATTTAACCTGAGCAGGACTGCTTGGGTTAAATGCAGGTTATTAAAGCACATTTCATGAAGGCAATGTTGCATGGTTCTCCCACTAGCTCTGAGTTTCTAGCAGTTAATATTTTCGTTACTTTAGGCATCTTTTGCAGGAAAGAGTTCTTCACAACCAGCATTGATCATTTTTATAGGGTTTTTTTTTAATGGCTACATTGTTGTCACAGGTTTTCATGGCATTGTGGTAAAAATGGTACACCCTAAAATAGTGATATGTAGACTTTGCCTCTACCTCTGAAATGCTATGACCTATCTCAAAAGTTCCAACACTCAAGTTGAAAATTGTTTAAATTGTGATAACTTCAGATAGAAACTACTCTAGAAACTTCTGCAAAAGTGTGATAATTTCATATACAGTAGACGTCGCTTAATGCAATTGTCATTCAGGTATTGTTATCCAATTACCAAAGACTCGCCTGTCCGTATATGAAAACGTGGAAAAGCGTCTTATTGTAATCAACAATTGAGTTCATATGATCAAGTATGCAATAAATTTTTTGAACCGATGTAAAGTCATTAAATAAAGTTAGAATTGATTATAAAAATTGTCAAGTCACTGAGAAAATCACCAAGTAAGGTATTAAGTCGACAAATAGCTTGGTTTTGTTTTTAATCAATTATTTAAAAGTAGGCAGAAAAGCAGTATTAGTCTCCTATTGTAGATTTTGAAGGCCTAAGAAGAAAATTTCCTGAAAACATGAATGCCAAACTGATTACTTTTTTTTATTTAAATTCTATATTACTTTATTATTTAAATTCTACATTGGCATGTTCTTTTATGAGAGATTCTTCTTTCATTGCAAGTTGTCCTCTGAGCTTAAGATTAGGGATATATCTTCAGTTAAGTAATTATAAAAAACATTACAAACAGTTCATAACGGAGCTTATGTATTAAAAACATTATGAACAGCTTGTAAACAAACTTTTGCATTTTCCTAATTAAAAAAATGCTGTGAAAGTACCTATTAATGTTTCTAATTATATGTAGTTAAATTTCATTGCTATTCTAAAGGATATTTTTTCTCTTTTAATGTTGTCAAAATAGCTGTGGGAGTTATGATAACATTAAGCGCAAGCACTAGCAGAAGCAACCAGTAGTGTGCTTAAGTGATGCTCCTGTGTATTGTGTTAAGGCATGTGTGTACCAGTTTTTCTGGCTTTTGAATGTGTCTTTTTGTTTATGACAGTTTGTACAATATATGTTTGTTAATGTGTAGCTAATAAATAATTTATAGATGCAGAAGGACAGACCAGAGATTCAGGCTATTCTTCAGAGAACTAGTAATAGGCCACCACTGAAGCGTAGAACTTCCGTTACTCGGATGAGTGGGCAGGAAAAGAGCAAGTCTGTTATGAAGGATACTAAATCTGAAAGAGCTCATATTGAAAATTTAACTCTTCCAGAAGAAGAGGGTGAAGAAGAAAAAGGTCAGTTATAATCAATAAAATATACATACTCGTAGCATTGAAATTAAAAAACTTTTGTTAATATGTGATATTACTTTCTTAATTCCTAGAAAAACGGCAAATTGAAGCATTAGAACGAGTGTCTGCCTTGAAAAAGGATGTATCAGACAAAGAAGAAAAAGGTGTGTGCATTTTCTGAATATTTTTAAGATTCATGAAATGTCTATGTTAAATTTTGATACATCGGTTTATAGTGATTGTCATTTTTAATCCATATAAGAAAATTTCTTATTTAGTGCTTTGTTAATTTAGAAATTTATAAATATTTTCTAGACATATTACCAAAGAAAGTGCCAACTTATGAATCCAAACCAGCTGCTGTTGAGGTATTATTTTTCAATCTAGTTTCTGAAATTTGTGTATGATTTTTCAGTTCTGTTTCATTCTGTGTTGGAAGTAATTTTTATCCATAAATATGTATGCATAGTTGCCAACTCTTCCAGGTTTGCTGAGAGATTCCCAGTTTTTAATAGCATCTCCTGTAGATGATCGAATCTCTCAGTTTTTAATTCTTAGTCTCTTATTATACCACTACCTTATACAGCAGATCACTGAACTTATCAATTTGAAATTTTTAGCTTCTCATTTTGGTGCTACTGTTGCAGCTTTATAAAATTATGATATTACAGAACAAACCTGAATGGGTTATATAATCATGCGAAGTGCGAAGCGAAGAAGAGCATAAAAACAGCTTTTTTACATTGAATCTGCATACATGCTTATGTGAATGTTACATAATATAATGGGTATGAATTGAAAAGTTCCCCCCTCCACATGTGCTTTTACAATTGAAGTTAGTTGTTAATTAATTTTATTATTTTCTGTAATTTATTAATTTTATTTCAATTGTATTTAAAAGCTCTTTCTGCCAGGGTTTTTGTGAGTATAAAAGTTGAAAAAATGATTTATAAAATGCAATTAATCAAAAAATATAAAATTTAGATTAATATACCATTAACATATTTTGCATCAATGTGACATTATAAATAATTCAGTAATCTGAATCATGCATTACAAAGTGGATTTAAATCAGTTTGGCATTCTTTTAAAATCATATTGCCACACAGTATGAGAACCTTCCTGTTAGTTTCTTTTGGTTTTTGTGCACATATCTCCCAGTTCTTCAGATTTCATGATTGGCAGCTATGCATGTTAAGCTTCTTGATAATGAAAAAAATTTCTTTATCTGTACATTTTTTTCCCTGTTATAGTTGTTGTATACATATTAATGGTATAGAAGCACTACTTATTTTCAATGCATTTTATTTAAATTCTATAAAAATTACAAGAGTGAATTAAAATGAAAATGGATGATTAATAATTTAAATTCTTACTTTTAATTGATTAATTTCTTTGTGTAGATGGTGTAACAATTTTATACATATGACAGTGATGTATATAGCTTAAGTAATTTGAAATTTCTAGAATTATAAATTTTATGGCTATGGTGGAATTTTTTAAATACTCATTATTATTTATTAAAGTATTTTAGTATCTTTCATGATACAAACTATATTTTCATATACAAGGTGAGACCAAAAAGTAACGTGACTCACCCCTCCTTTCGGAAATGAGAACAGCCCGACAACCTGACACATGTGCATTACGATCTTCGGTATGCTCCGTTGAAGTTCAGGATCATTTGCAAAGTTTCTTGTTTCATGTTTGTTTGTGCAGTCGCTCAAACGTGAAAGTTGTTAGCACATTGCATAATGGGGCAGAAAATAGATCTGACATTCTGTTTTAAAATGAGTAAAACTGCTATGGAAACCTTGGAAATGCTTCGAAGTGTGTATGGCAAAGAAGCTTCATCTTGCAAGACTATTTCAGTGGTTCAAACTTTTCCGTGAAGATCGTAAAAGTGTAGAGGATGAGCATTGCAGTGGAAGACCGTTGACAAACAGAAAGGCGACAAATGTTGAGAGTTAAGAATTTATTGCTGCAAGATTGCCGTTTGTCTGTCCGAATAATGGCAAACAAATTGAATCTTTCTCGTGAAATTGTCCAAACAATATTGACACAGGATTTGGGTAAACAGAAGCTTTGTGCGACGCTTGTCCATCATTACGAAACAGAAACAACAGCGAATGGACTCCTCTGGTGACTTCCTCAATGCAGCAAGTAAAGATAACATGTTTTTTACAGTCAATGGTCACAGGAGATGAAATGTGGTGTTTCGCATATGATCCACAAACGAAACGCCAAAGCATAAAGTGGTGCGGTCCCTCATCGGCGAAATCAAGAAAGTTTCGTTTTGAAAAATGAAAGGTTAAGTCAATGTTGATTACTTTTTTTTTGATGCACTGGGATTGTCCATAAAGAATACATACCGTAAGGTCAACCAGTTAATGGTGAAATTTATTGCCATGTTATGAAGCGCCTCCTGGCTCACATTCATCGTGTTTGGCCCCATCTCGCTGCATCGGGCAAGTGGTTTCTGTTGCGATAATACACACCCTCACATTGCAATGTGTCTTAGAGGGTTCCTCGCCCAGCAAAAGGTTTCAGAGTTATTTCACTCTCCTTATTCCCCTGATCTTGCACCAGCAGACTTCTTCCTCTTTCCAGAACTGAAATTGGGCACTAAAGGGACACCGATTTTCAAGCATCTCAAACATTCAAGCTGCTGTTACCAAGGAACTTAACACAGTCTCAAAGGAGGACTTTTTCAAAAGTTTCCAGAACATGCATGAACATTGTCAGAAGTGTATTGTAGACGGTGGGTACTACTTTGAAAGGACAGTGATGTATTTATATGTAAATATATAATACAGTCATTATTATGACATCGGTCACCTTACTTTTCAGTCTCACCTTGTAGATATAGCTATTTCTTATAAATATAAACTTATCTCGGCATATTGTTTTTATTCAGGAATGCTATTAGTTTTTTAAGTAGGTGATCGTTTTCAGATTCAAGAGTTTAATCAGTGATTCAAAGTTTAATTTTATATTAATCTAGTATATGTAACTATTATTCTAAACATAGTTATGCTTCTGAAGAATTAATTTGTTGGTGATTTTTATGTAAATTTCTGATAACTCTGTAATTTATACTCTATATTTCTGTGTATAAGCTGTGAATTTTTGGAATTTTTTCTAAAGTTAGATTACAGCCCAGAGGTCTCCTTATTACGAATCCACTAATCTCAAAAAAACATAGGTCTTTTTCCATTAACCATTTGCAAGAAATGCATAGCCAAATTTGTATGGTATGGTGGCAGTCTTTATTGTCTGACTGCATTCATCAAGAACTTTAATCAGGCATAATAGACATTAAAAATTTATCTTTATTTCAAGATTATTTCCTAGATATTGATCTTCATTTGTGTTGGACTCATAATGCTGTTATGAAATAGGATATGCACACAGAGAGACCACAGATTTAAAGGAGGAACTTAAAGGTTTAATTCATCTTTACTTTAGACATAATGGCAATGAGTGATGAATACACATACATATGTGACCATGAAAACAAGTTCAAGCAGACAGTTCCTGTAGTAGAGATAGGTGGTAACCACATTGACAAGTAACAAGAGACAGGTCCATACAGAATAGCTTTTAGGTGAACATACTGATGGTTTATCGTCATTGGGGATATGGTATCCATAAAGCTAAGATTCAACGCATTCATTCTGGTGAACTTGTATTGTCACTAACCACTGCACTGACACATAGCCAGGCTTCCACCAGAGATTAAATGCACTACCTTTCCTTCTCAGTAGCATGCAAACATAAAAGGGACTGCAAATTTTCAACACTGTGGCTAAGCAAAGATTTGCAGAGTTGATAAAGGTGTTAGTCTATTCTCACTTTATTTTTCCATTTATGTTTATAAGTTGCATATTTGCCAAATGGCATTTAATATGTTACTGATATGTATGTATTTACTTGTTATTGAATTAAATGTTTTTTTTTAAGTGCATGCTTTAAATATGGCATACACATGCACATAAATTAATTTCTTGTAAAATGTGCATAATATACTGTTTTATTTATTTTTGTTATTTAAAGCAGTGAAAAATTAAAAGAGTGGAGAAAATGTGATTTGGATGATTGAATTTATGCAGAACTGTAGTCTTTGTGCATTATTGAATTTCCATTAGTTGTAGACTAGTGTACAGTGAAGTGTGTGTTTAAAAGCTGTATAAAAGAAAGTGAAGAAATTACTATTTTGCAGTACTATTTTATTAGGCTGAATTCAACATCTTTACATAATTTATAGTCCTTATAGTAGTCTTTTTTTTTAAATATGTGCTAATTTGAACATGTTTATTTTAATGATAAACACAATTTAAGTGATTTAAGGTTCTATTTGACTAATTCTAAAATTTTACAGATTGGCATGTTTGTTTTCCAGTTTGATGATTTAACTGTATATTGTTTGATATGCAATCTCTAATTATTTGATATCTTTATAAGGAGCTGTTATTTTTAATGAATATTTAAATACACTAATCTATTAAATTGTATATTTTTTATACAGCCTAGTGTAAAGGAGCAGCAACCAGAAAAAATTCCATCTTGGAAGAAAGTCCTTAGGCGATCATCCGAAAATTTAGAAGATTCAAATATAGGATCTGAAATATCAGAAGTAACTCTAAAAAGGCCAAAGAGAAGTAATGAAGATGTAAGGTTCATTAGAAAGTTAATTTAAAGAGAAATTTCACTTATTAAATAATTAAAATTAATTACTGTACTGATTTCATAATGTATTTGACATGAAATAAGAAATCAATTACAGAATATTTTTATGAATATAGGACTTTCTTTTCTTATATAGAGTAGTGAAAAGTCTAATGGTCCCTTAGAAACTAATAAAGATGGGTAAGCTCTGTTTAATTACATGTCTGTACTGTATATTGCATGATATTTTTATAGCATGAATGTTTGTTTTGACAGCTTTTTATGGTGTTTAATAAACCTCTTCCTAATACTGTATGAATTCTTTAACTGCTTAAATAGTGCAAACTTATAGTATTTTCTTTTGGAGATTTAGTGTTGTACATTTATTTGAGTTAGTATTAAAGATATAGGGGAAAAAACACATTTCTGCTAATTATTTTATATTCAAAATTTTCTGCTCATTGCTCTTAAAATTTCTTTCTTTGCATTCTTAGTGGCAGTTTCACTTTGATTTGATTTTTGTCATGTACAGTATTAGTTTTGTAAGGGAAAGGTATGAAGTTAAATTGGAAGCTTCTTTTGTAAATTTTATGCCAAGTGTCTTTTTGTCCGATTTGTTTTTCTGAATTTTCATTCCAAGGGTAGTGTTCTAAAGCTTCAAATTCTTGTGAGCGACATATTAGTTATGTCAGACTTTTCTTTTTTGGAAGGAGGGGTTGTGTGAGAGAAGATTGTAAAGTTCGTTCATGTTCTGCAAGAATAGTTTCAAATTTAATCCTATGAGGGTAAATCAAAATGATATATGTTAAGATGTTACATTATATGTTTTGCTTCCAACTAACCTTGTTCTATAGAAACCTGCCCAATATTATGCCTTGAAGGGGAGAAAAAATATTTCTTGTACTTTTCGTCTTGAATTTCATTGTAAGCTATGTATACATTCATTTCATGTAGTGTCTGATAACAGACTAATTATTAGCACATCATGTACATATATGTAGCATTGAAACTTTAGGAGTGTGTTATTTAAATTACCTATTTCAGTTACAAAGAAGATTATCATTGTATGAATCTATTTGAGAAACTAATCACTATGAGCAAATGGAAATACACATTTTATTCACCAGTGACCGGAGAATTTCATTTTATAAAATCAAATTAAGCTTATTTTACTTACATTAACTTTCTGGTATAAATGTACTGAATAGTAATGATTTAGAAGTATTTTTTTATTATAATTTTAAGAAGATAACTGTATGTATTTTAAGTTATGTGCGTGGTGGAATGAACTATGTTCATAAAACAAAACTTTAATTCCTTTGCTGTTATAGCTGTGGTCAATGCTTAATTTAATTTGTGTTTGAAATAAAAACAGATAATCAGAAATCTCTGTTGAGAGGTAAATTTTTATTACACCTGCCTTCATAATAAATAGAGAACTGTCAAAAGAAAATGTTAAAGTGCTTGTAACTTCAAATTAGTAGGATAGCTCTATTACAATAAACTGTTGTATGGTATATGTATGTTTTCATTATCTAATGACATATTTTGAAGTAAATGTTTTGTATCTAATGAGGTTTTGTATCTAATGTTATATTTGAGGATGTCTAGCTAATATGCGTTAACAAAAATAAATTACATACCATATGCATACCTATCTTTCTCTTCTTCACCACAAGCTGTTGCTGAGATTCACCGAGTGCTTCTTTTTAGAAAACAGACTTGAAAGAATTGGACTACATGCATTTTAGTTTTAGTTCAATAGAAATAAGTTATTAATTTCTTAATAACAGTTAATTTTCATTTCTTAATAACAACATAAATAAATTAAAAGCAAATAAAAAGAATTTATATTATTTTTTTAAAAAAGATTAGTGCGGTAAATACAAAGGTCATAGTTTCAGAGTTTGCATGACTAAGAATTTTTTTTCTTTCCTTTTTTCGTTCCCCTATTTTTAAAATTTGAAACATATAAGGTGTTTATTTAAATAAGGAAAAAGTGTTTCATTACTTAATATTGTTATTTAATAATTCATCACTTAGTAATTTGTTTTCTATAATGTTTTATAAATTGAATTTTTTAAAAATTGACAATATTTATTTTCGATATTTTATATTTTTATTAGCATTTTTAGTCTGTGTTCTTGTCAGCATTCTGTTAAGCATTCCTGTTTACGATTACTGCTGCTACTAATTTTAAAATTTATAAATGATAATATTGAAAATTTTGCAAATTCATATGTTTATTGCGAGTGTAATGAAGGTCTTCTGTAGGATGTAAATTTGTCATGTACCCTCGAGTTTGACTGATGAAATTTAGAGCAAAATCCTGTGTAGATGAGCTGCTGTCAAGCAACAAGTTTGTGATGGAAACTTATTGCAAACAATTTTGTTACCTTGTCTAGATTTACCTTAAAGTTAATGCTCATTGATATGGTATAATAGTAATATTTTATTTTGCCTTTGTTGTTACTTATTATTATCAATCTTGATATTCTTCTCTTTCCATGGGACTTTTTGTACATTCATAACATTTTTTTTCCTTGTGAGGTAAATTATCGCAAGGGAAGCATAGTAGCATATATCGGTTCTTACACTTTGTTACACGAGTCTGTATTTATTTGCAGTTATGAAGGCTTGTTAAATCACATATTTTTAGTTAAAGAATGCTATTTTTTAACATCATCTAATCGTATAACCTTAGAGGTGATTATCCGATTCTTATTTCATATTTTATTTTAAAGCAAAAACATCTATATTTTGATCTTTATATTGTATAAAAAATTAAATGGCTGTTCAGAGTAAAGTTAGCTGTTTAAGAAGATTTGTAAGTATTGTTTTTTTGGGAAGAGCTGGAATTTAGCTTCAAATCAATCAGTTTATTAATACAGAATTTTGAAGAAAGTGTTATCCTCTTGCTTCCTATAAAATTTTAAGGCACTTAAATTGCCTCATTGGTGTATGATATGTATGAGCATTTTAAACTTTGTGTTTATTTAACTTTTAATAAGAAATTAGTGCACATGCTTTTAATACGTTTTCCATTGCTTTGATTTATTTTCTGTTTGTAAATAATAATGTATTTGTGAATGATTTGTTTGAATGAGAAATAAGTAATTATTAGGTTGAAGAAAAATAGTGATTTAACTTCCTTACACTCATCCTCCCCCTGCACTGAAGCAATTAGTGAAACCAGTAGTATTCCCACCACCCCATCATCCCCATCTGATACATCCTCTGAATCTCAGTCACAAGATAAATGGTGAGTGCATGCTTATTTTCATATACCTTCATTATTTACCTGGAGAATCAAAAATTAAGTGCTTGAATTTATTGTACATGTGTTTAAATAATATTGCAATTTCTTTGTCAAATGCTTTTAAAAATATGTGCTCAGGAATAATTGCTATTAATCCTTTGATTTACTTACATATGATATTTAAAAAATGTCTTTTTTAATATAGATAGATGAAAAATGTTTTCATAGTTTAAACATTTGTAATCAATCTTAGTCTTTTTAAATAATAAAAATAATTTCAAAATATTGATTTAATATGAGGTTATCTGACGCTGAAGACATGAAAAGAACACAAAAATAAGATTTGTATTAGTGAACTGAGTATGTTTGGGAGTCTTCCAAGTATAAATTCCTAGCTTCAGAATTAAAGAGCTGAAGGTGGTTTCGTTTTAAAATGGGAAATAATGTTAAGCACAGATATTTCAACTGTCTGCAGACAAAATTTGATGCGGCTGATGTTTAAAATATTTATGATTCTGCCTAATATAACATCTTAATATTACTTCTTAGGATGAGACATCCTTTCAAGATGCATAGAAAATTTCTCTTAAGATTAATTGCAATTGAAGATTGACTTGCCAAGCATAATAATTTAAACTAGTATCCTTCTTTTACATGTTTTAATTTACAAATTGTTCCGAAATGATTATAGCAGTTTTGAAAATTAAATATGGCTACATATTTAACCCTCTGAGCAGTGCAGGCTTTTGGATCTGCCATGAAGACTTGTATTTAATTAGCCTTTATTAGCTAAATTTGCATATTTGCTTATTTTAGTCTCTATTTTCATAAACTTAAATTTATTGAGACAACATTTGTATTATTAAAGAAAGTAAGAAAGCAAAATATCAATATATACTAAGTGACAAAAAATCTCATGGTCAGATGAAGCCGGTCATAGTACTCAGAGGATTAAATGGCTGTGCATAAATAACCTGCAGTAGGGAGGAAGGAAGTAAAAGGCAATGATAAAAGTTTTTCAGTGTACAGAAATTCCTGTAGTCATAAGAATGATCTGTTTGCTATCTTACCTTTTCGAGACCATTGTCAGCATAATGAATTATCTTTGTGTATGTCGTTAGTGCAGTAATTTAGGAAAGATCACATATATTAATCTTTTAACAAATTTGAGCTATTTATCATTTCCATTTCAGTGCTAATTAATTCCTGAATGAAACAATGAATTGGGAGGTTAGGAGCTCAAGTTTAGAGTTAATGAAGCGACCACTTAACTGTTCAGATGTTATTCCCTTTGTCTCCTTTTCTGTGGGGCTATATGGCAAAGTGTTCATTGCATTCTTTCTACTAGATGCTAAAGAAGTTGAAGATGGATCACAGTGGCTTTCAAGAAGATTAACCATCTGTAGACACACCCTTTTTTGACACTAAAAAAAATCAAATCATTGCTTGCACACAGGGCCATTCTAATAAGCAAAAAATGGACTGAACTAAGTTGCGGTGCACCACAGACTATTGGTACAATATAAGAAACAAGGAAATAAAAACTGAAGAACAGTTATCTGAATATTGCATCTTACTGTAAAGGGTAAATACAAAATGGGGGAGGGGAAAGCTGGATTGCAGACTACTGAATGTCAGCTGCATAAGGTTGAAGTCAAAAGATCATATTGAATATTTTTAAAAGAATATTTAAAGTAGTTCTTGTACAACTAACACTTAATATTCTATAAACATTTTAAAGCCTTTGAATCATTTTTAGTTAGTCTGTAAAATATAAACAGATTAAAATTTAATTTGCACTTAAAATTTTATTTAATATTTCTCCCCCATAGAAAGTTGATCATTCTTGAGTGATTTCCACGTAAATTATAGTTGGAATAATTATCTTGGTTTGTTTTTACCTGCCTTACTGTTTTGTGAAAGCATGTAATTTTGTTGCTCAGTTGATTAAACCTAAGGTGAGTCAAAAGGCTTATGGAATAGGTGCTGATCTTTGTTGTTCATATTGCATTAAATTATTCTCACTGCATTCATCAAGAGCTTCAGTCCGACTTAATACACATTAAAAATTTATCTTTATTTGAAGACTTCAAATATGCCAACTCAAATACTCCTCAACAGGTGGTCTCTGTTCTCTGTACTCTGTCATAAAAACTTTTCTCTAGGGTTGCTATATTTATCGGCAATATATATGTATGTATATTATTGCAAAGTGTGATGTAGGCACTGTCACTCTCGCCACAGGCTTAGTACCCACGATTTAGATGACTGCTTATTTTGTAATTATTAATTTTCTTGAATAAAATATAAAGCTTGCTTGAAATGTTTTTTAAAATTTCTTATGTTTTAAGCATGATTTTACATTGTGTGGAATATGTATATATCCAAGTAGTGTACATATGTGGTGTGTATTAAAAATAACTGATTGTTTTTAAGCATAAATAACAACAATGCTTGCTGCATTGCACTTTTATAATGATTATCCTGTGATTAATATAGTCAGAAATTTAGTTGAGACAGAGCATTGGTCTATGCAATATCACATTCAATAGTACAATTATAATGTCGTAAGCAGAATTACTAATATTGGGCTCCTGATAATCTGATTTAGCTTTTTCTCCATACTGCCGAGATGAAAGTATGATATAAAATTTCTGATGTAGACTTTGGCATTGTTCTGCTGTATTGTTTGGAAAACGAGATGGGGTAAGTAATTACTGTGGGAGTTCAGTTATGAATGGTCATGCTTGAAAATGTTGGCATCGTTCTGCTGTATTGTTCGGAAAATGAGACAAGAGAAGTAGTTACTGTGAGTGTTCATGGTCATGCTTGAAAATGTTTTCTCAGGCTGCTACAGGAACTAGTCAGCATGAGCAGCTGAATAGATAAAGCAGTTACTCAAAGAACTAGAATTTCTGTGGGTATACTTTGGAGTTTGTTTCAGGGCTCTCAGATTGTGGAAATAGCTGAGCAGCATTGTTTTTCAAAAGCCAATAGTAGTTTTTAGCTTGCTTTACTATATTTCAAGATAGATAGAGCAGTAACTACGAGTAGTGTGGAATGAATGTTATTGAAAAGAAGCTTAGAAGAGCTAACAAATTGCAATAGTGAAGACTTAATTATGTATTGTGTTTTGTATTAAATTCTGAACTTACAAATAAAATAGGTCTAGAGGGTCATGGTATTGTAAGTTATTTATTTCAAGCTTCTGTGTATTTTTTTCTAAGTATTGAGGAAGAAGATTTGGGAATTTCATAACTGCATGTGTAACTTTTAGTTTTGATCCCTAAATCGTGTTGCAGTGGATTCAGATTATCTTAAGCTTTTCATAAAGTCATTCACCCTTCGAAATTTTAAACTTCTGTTCTCAAAAGGTTAATAGAAATAATTTTCAGAAAGCATATCATATATTCTATGCGAAGAGATCAAATGTTGCAATAATACCTTAAAATTTTTATTCATGTGGACAGCACTTGTTTCCTCCCAAACAAATTAGGGATTCAATTATAAGGTATTTCTCCTGCCTTTGTAGCGTGCTTTTGTGGTCTAGTGGTTTTGCATACTGGGATGGTATTTCAGAGGTCAATGGTTCGATTTCCGGTGGAGGCATTGCTAATTTTTCATCTTGCCTGCTTTAAAATTATACCTAATGTCTCTACAGTGGTGCCCAAACTAAAAAGGTGTTGGATGAGGATTCTCCACACCCAGGATTTGGCAGGGGAGTATATAAGGTATATCTCACACTTTCCTAGCGTGTCTTCATGGTGTAGTGGTTCTGCACTCTGGGCCGGTATTCCAGAGGTCCCGGCGAAGGCGTTGCTAATTTTTCATCTTGCCTGTTCTCAAAAAAATACCTGATGTCTCTGCAAACATATTTAATTTAGATCTAAAAAATTTGTGGTGATTGATTCTTCTGAACATCTGTCTGAATAATAAAATTTTTTATTAAAATTAAAAATGAAAATTTCTGAAAGTGCTAAATTTTGGGGAAGTCTTTTGCTTAATGCTAAATTTATGGTGAGTTACCTTCATTGTCATTGATTTCTAAGTTTGAATTATATCGTCTTTCAGTGATTGATAATACCTAGTTGCATGTATGATTCCAGTTTCAGTTTTGTTTTTTTCTTTTTAGGGTTGTTACTTTTCTGTTCCAAACAGATAGAAATTGAATTACTGAGTTGGAAATGAAAATATTCAAATTATATAACTTGGTGGCATCATCAACTTTTTTCTGTGAGTCGTATACAATCAAAGATAGCATGAACTATTTATAGAAATTACCAACAAATGGAAATTTTTTCCAAACGGAACTTTTAACTAATTGTGAGAAGAGTCACAAGTGATTGCCTAAAGACTTCACTGAATTATTAATTTTTCTTGAGTGTTTTTGTGAATTCTCAGTTTTAATTTTATCATTCATGAATTTGTTATTTAACTTAGTAATAACTTTGTTATTTATCTGAGTTTAGTTCTTAGCTATTGTCTCATATGTCTGAGTTGCAGAATGTGTTACCTATAACTTCGACAATGTGTGAAAGAACTGACTAAGATGATCGATCCCACTAGTATCTGAAATTTTATGGAATACTCTTGTATAATCCATCTTCTTTCTTGCATTTAAATCACTTAATTCAGAGATAGCTTCCTTATCTGTTAAACCAGTAGTTTATATGACAATATTTTGAGTTTTAATATATAAGCACTGTCATATAGTTGTATTAGATAACTGTGAAATAGAATAGTAATGTACATAAATATTTACTTGTATATTTTCCCTCGGTATATTGAGTCTTTTGAGTTTTTGTTTGCAAACACTATTGCACAACTATAGTAGATAACTGTGAAGCAAACTAAAGATATATCAATATGTCTACTTATGTGTCTTAGAAATATTATTTATAAAAATAAGTATCAGATTTACCAACGAACATCATTATTCCATAATAAAGAACATTTCTAATGATTTTCAATGCACAGCAGAAATAGGCTTGAGTATCTTCAGTCATTTTTTTATATCATCAGTAAACTGTAAATTTTTCTGAAAACAAAATGTATTCATAAATATAAAAGATGACCAGCTCTGTTGCTCATTTGTTGATGTTTGCCCATTTTTAATTATCATCTTGTCTAAAGGAGATGTTTTTCATATGTCTAAAGGAGATGTTTTTCAAGTTATTTTTAGGAAAATGTTTGTATGTATGTAGAGGCAAAACTATAAAGCCCTGCTCAGACAGTTCATTAGCCTCTGGGCACGAAACCTGAGACAAATGAGCTGCAGCTTTATCCACAAGTAAATCATTCCCAAGTACATGACATAAATTCCTCATGAAATTTCACATCAAATAAGGATTCAATAATAATTAAACAAAACAATAAAAGTGAATAAAGTAAAAAACATCTTTTTAAACTTTAAGACAGTTAATAGATCATAAACCAAGTGTTTAAGATCAGGTTGTCAATTATGTTATATTATAGTATGTAAAACTTATAACAGACTTAGGTTTTTATTTATTTATTTTTTTGGGTGGAGGCATAAGTCTACAAAAAATCATGTCAGAGTCATGAAAATCAGAATATTGACACAGTAGTTAGTTTAAAGGATAACAAAAAGTATTAAGATTATTAAATTTGTACAGTTATATTCAGCAAAAGTTCTCTCTGGAAAGGATTAGAAGTTCTGTATTCGATTGTAAGATATTTGCTTTGCAGACAAATCTTTGAGATATAAATTTGTTAACTTAGTTACATCTACATTAAACAAACACTGTATTCAGAATTGTAGATGGAAATTTGAAACTATTACAATATCTTGAAAAAAAATTTAATGAATTATGGCAAAGTACATGATGGCTATCTGTTGAAAGGAGAAATAAGTCTTGGAGAACTTTCCAATGGAAGTTGAGGAAACCATAAAAAAAGAGCTACAGAAAATCATAAATGTATATATGTAACCATCCCATTTGCTGAGGTTTTTCAGTTGTGTGTCAGAGCTATCTTCTAAGTTATTGGTAGTCTGAGAGATTAGTTTTAATTTTGTGCTTAAGGAAAGTTATTAAAAGCTTTTGCTGACTCCAGACAACATACTGTCAATAGCAGCCTATGTTTGTTTTGCAAACTGTATCATAGTCAGCATGCTTCTTTTCATTAGAAAATATGTAAGCAGAATTTGTGACTGTATTGCACAAGTAAGCAAAAGTGGTATTGATTGCTGAAACATTTATGAATACTATTTGCTTGAAAAATGTCTTCGTGGATGAATGACCAGCTTGTATTTATATTACACTGTGTAATCAGCTCAGTTAACCTCTGTGAATCTAATTTAAGACTAATATAGAGAAGAGACTTATATTTGTATGTAAAATTATTGCCTTTATGTTGCTCTTATGCATTTTTTAACCTGATTACTAGTGAGTTTGAACAACTTCATATAAATCATTTGATTCTGAGCAACTTATGTCAGTCTACAGTGCTTTAGGTTAAAATTTAAATTTTACTTCTGAGTAAACTTAATTGACAGCAAAAATTTTCTGCTTTGCTTATCATGATGCTCAAATGAGAGCTATTGATAGCTATACCATTGAGAGCTATACCATTTGAGAGCTATCTGACTTTTGTCCTTGCATACACAACTGGCATTTCATAAATTGTGAAGTGAGTTTTTCAAGGCTTAGTTATTAATATATGTATTTTGTTTCCTTCTTTAATGTCATATCTTGTAAAGTATATTCTTTAAAGCAATGATTACAAACTGGTGGCCTGTGGGTCAGATGCCCGAAGCAGTTTTGCATGCCCTCTGAATACATTTTCCGTAAATTAATTAGCCTTATAATGACAATTGTGAGAAAAAGCTTTTCAAAGTTTTAATAATTTTGAGACCAATTTGACATTATTTTCATTACCATTAGAAACGAATATGTGTAATGCTCCAGAAAATCTACAAATGGAGCGAATTTCCTGTATGATATAAACAGTGTTCAAAGATTTGAAGGTACAGATTTGGTCAAGTTTTGCCCATACCTGTCAAAAAATAAATGCCTTAAATTATGAATTTTTGCAATAAAAGTAATCACTCTGTGAGTATGTTTTAAGTGTAAACAGTTTTTTTCTGCAGTTGAAAATTAATAAAAATAAGTATTAGATTTACCAATGAACATCCTTATTCCATAATAAAGAACATTTCTAATGATATTTCTCCAAGGTTTTATCAAAATTAAAACCCCATCAGATGTTGTAGCTGAAAGTTGTAGTAAGAAATAAGGAAGTTTATATTAATTTACATACAAATATAAGTCTCTTCTCTATATATATCTCAAAGAAAAATTTGAAGAGTATAGATTGTCATTATTTATTCTCAAGTTTTACTTGCCTGCAAATATTTGTTTGTTTTTAGCGTAAGTAAGTTATTTACTAGTTAATTTATATGAGCATTATTTGAAATAAATGTCAATCTGAAAATTGAATATTTAGCTGGAAATATGTTTGAGTTACAAAGTGTAACCAACAGAAATTTCTTGCAGGTACCATTCTTTATATTTCTGGCAGAAAATATGAATTTGAGTTTCCTTTTTTGTGTCATTATTATTACTCTTTTTAATTGTTTTGATATATATATATTTAGCAATTAAAATTTAATTTAAAATGTTTTGTTAAGAAAAATTTCGGTCCATCAGCTATTTCATATCATGCATTTGGTCCACTTACAAATTTGAATTTGAGACTACTGCATTAAACTATTCGATAATAATAATTGTACTGCTGTCATAACAAAAGTGATTTTAAACTTTATTCATAATTAATTGCTTGAGAATATGAATATTCAAAATTGCTTTTGGCAGTCTTTAAGCAATTTCAAATTTTTGATTAAATGCTGTATAATATGTGTTAAATAGTTCAATTTAATTCTGTTTTAAAGGCATTGTATTTATTACTGTTTCTAGGAAACCTTTCATTCCACCTGTTCGAGATGATGAATCTGAGCTTCAGCGTAAAGCTCATGCGAAGAGGGTGAGAGAAACACGTCGTTCTACACAGGTTGTCTATTTTAACCTATGTGTGATGTACGATAACAATTTTTTAAAAGATTTTTCGAATATGCATTTTTATGTTTTCTTGTTATTTTATTTAGGGTGTATTATTAGAAGACATAAAGTCAGCAGAATTGCAGTATTTAATAAACACTCAGCGTGAAGCTGCTAAGAGACAAGCAGAAGAAACAGATATGATTAAGCAGGCCGAAGAAGTAGAAGCCTTGAAGAGGCAGACAGAGGAAGCAGGAACTGAATTAACAGAAGTAGAAGGCAACAAGAAAGAGAAGCAGAAGTCAGCTTCAGATGATAGTTCGGTATGTGATACACCGTCTTGGAAATCTCGTAAACAAGGCCCAGCTGATTCTAAAGTAATCATTTATTAGTTTATGAATTAGCAGCTTATTCTCTGCATTAAGTCAGAAATTTTTTGTAATTTTCTTTTATTTGTTTATCCCAGAGTTATTGTGATATTACTGTATTATGCTTTCCAGATTTTCTATTCTGTATGCATTCTGAATTTTTATTCTAATCAATAATTAAATTCTTCTGTCTAGGAATTTGATGTTCTTTCTACAAAAGTTGACAGGCCTTCAAGGATAGGTGGTAAATCTGAGGAAGGTGGTAAAACCCCGGACTCTAGTGATGGACCATCTGTTACTCTTGTTCTTAGATCAAAATCTGCTAGTTCTCCAGACGACACAAGTAAGTTATAATTCTTACAAACTTAATTTTCATTTATGGTATGCCTGTTTGTTGTAAATGTTGTGATCTCTGTCATTTGAAATAGAATTAATTATACTCACATGTTATAAATTTTGTTTTCCGTAATGGATAAAATTTATCAGTTATCAAAAGTTAATATCCTATTGTGCTTCCAGTTAGTTATATCAAACAACTTTTGTGATAATTAAGCATTCTTAAGTTATTTTTAATTTTATACTAGATTTTTGTTTTTAAATCGCAGTACATTATTTTTAATTTTATACTAGATTTTTGTTTTTAAATCGCATGTACATTATTTTTAATTTTATACTAGATTTTTGTTTTCAAATCCCATGTACATTGCTTGTCCAAAATAGAATCATTGATGAGATGCACCTTTTCACAAACCCATGGGCAGAGAGCAGTATACTGACCAGACATACTGACCAACTATAAGTAAAAGAATGGTTGGGCTTCTAGAAAACGTATTGTATTTGACAAAAATAGGTAATTATGGCAAATATGTTAAAGCTGATTGTGAAGATATTGTTGGGAGAAGGTATAGAGTATTTTTTTCTGAAATGCCAACAGTTCTTTGGATTCTCAAGCATCATATCTTATCATAAATGGACTACCTTATTATTATTATAACCTGTGGGTAATTGGCATAGACTGTCTAGTGTCAGTTGAATGAACGATAATGAGGATGCAGGAGAAATACAGGCTATGTACCTGATCTTTATAGAATGTTATCTAACAGATAATCTGGTGCATATGGTATATCCTTGGATGAAGTTGCTACACATGCCATTACTGATTGTATAGTATCGGACATTTTTGGAATGTTGCAATTTTCTTTGTACCAGAAACATCAGAAATACAAAGGGTTTATTCTCTGCCATACTAGACAGAGTGCAAAGTTCGAGATCCAGGATTTTCGAGACTTTGGTGAATCCACAAATTTCTGTATTTTAGGTCATCAGCTTAAATCTAGTATTAATATATGCAGACAGAGCAACATTGCAGATTTGCTTATTGTTTATGTAACATAGAAGAATGGTAACCCCCAGTAGGACTGGTGTCAGATTTACTCTAGCTGCAATGGTCAACAAAAGTGTTAGTATTTAAAAGAGCATTAAATAACAAAAATTAAGAATTGCAAAATTTTTAGAATTTAGGAAAGGTAACAGAATATAGGACCTGCAGAGGCTACACAGAGCAGCAAATGTGTAGTGCCACCCTATCCCCACAACCACCCAAGGGCAGCAGATAGTGTGATCTGAGCCAACATCAATACAACGCCAATCAGTATATTGTTATTGACTGTGGTGTGACTTTCTAGCCAGCAGAGGGGTTGAAAGTGAAATGCAGAAATCTCAGTTGGGAGAAAAATCACTTCTATGGCATATTTGCTTTTTGATGAATATTATATTCTCCATTCCTAGATTTTGTCTGGAAGTGCAAAATTGTTAATTATTATTATTTTTTTTTGGTTTGCTGGTCTGAATATTAGATCATTCCAGATATCGGATATCTGAATTTTGGACTTTGTAGTATTGAAAGTTACAAATCTGACACTGATAACATGAGGCCATTATGTTATCCTGCTAAATTGGCTTGTCTTTAAGTCTTAAAAGATATATGTACTGATGATTTTTTTAAATTGCCAATATATACATAGGTTTTCCTATATATTGTACATTTTGCAATTGCAGCGAATATTCTATAAAACAAGACTGAAATAAAAATTAATTATTGTTAATGTCATAATGAGAATAATGTAAAAGTTTACATTTTATGTTATCTATTGTTTGGTATTGTTTCAGATAATCTATGCAGAGCAATGCACTATTTTTTTTGGTGCTATTCAGAAATTGATTATGTGTATTGAAAGCTGTTGACGGAGGAGGCTTTTTTTAAAATTTTTTTTATTTATTCGTAGTAAAATTCTGTATTGGGTAATCCTTATAGATATTAGTTTTTCTAAGCATGTATTGGGCAAAATTTGCCCATTAACATTTTTTCTTTCATAAATGAGGGTTTTTTTGAAGCATTCTTTTACAGTTATTATAAACAAATTTTTTATTATAAACAAATTTTATATTGATCCAGGAAGTGAAAGTATAGAAAGTATTTTGAAAACTTAGTTCTTGCATACAACATTAAGGATTGCTCTTGGACAAAGATAATATAAGAAGGCGGTTTAGATGCCTATTTCTTCTTTCTAGAATGTGTAATATTTTAAAACAGATTCTTGGGATTACAAACATGCATGGATTATAAATTTATGCAAAATTTTGTAGAACAGTCTTGTGTCCTTAAAATCAAAAAACGACATGTGTACTGTTACTCTTATAAGACTTTACTGAAAATGTTGAAATTTATCTCCTTTTTCTGTGTGTGTGGGGGGTGTTATAATTCCAGTAAGTTCTATGCTGCAAGGGAAAGAATCCTTATGGAACAATTTTAATTAAACATTTTGCTTTAAAAATCTAAAAGTAATTTTTATAAACTTGAATTACATGAAATTCTATGTTTTTAGTAGTTTTTATGTGATCTACTTCATAACAGTTTCTACAGTGAAAGGGTTCAGTTTTTTTTTTTTAAATTTAAATATCTGTGAATATTTATAAGAAAGATTAGAGTACCAATAAAGTTTAAGATTTCTTCTCCCTGAAATGGAGTTTAAAAAATGGTTGCTGTTTATTGAACGTATGTAATTTTGAAAACCTTGCAGCAGTGAAGTATAAGTACAGCGTTTAATGGTAGAGTATAAATATTCAATGATGAAAGTATTTTTGGAGATTAAAACTCAAAAATTTAATAATCTATAGTCTTGCTTCCAGCTGTGTAGCCAGAAAGGGGCATCTTTCCCTGGGTGCAACATCTAGGATGCACCAAATTGATGTTATGAATTTTAGAATGTGATGTTTTCCATTCTTGTGAATAAAAAGGGATATACAATGTTCCTGTTGTCTTTGCAGTTGAAAAGCAGTATGATTCTGTATGTAGCAGTTCTTTAGTATAATAGTACATAATGGCACGAATGGTTTCCCTAAAATGAATTAGTTAGTGTTATTTAGTTTTCTGAATATTTCACAATTATTCATTCTAAAAGTCTAATGTAGTCTTTTTCATGAAGCATGACTTTAGAACAGCAATGCTTGTTTTCATTTGTTTGCTGTTTGCTTGTTTTTGGAGTAAAAGTAATGTAAATTGCTCTTGTAGGTGGTTTAGAATAATTATTTCACTTTTTTGGAAAGCTAAATAGGATTATATATATATATAAGCAGATTGTGATAAGGTGGCATAAAGGTTCTTTGTCTAAGATGAGTTTTCAGAGTGCAATAGTTTTCATATCACTGGTGAAATCCTGTGCCTTTGTTAATAATTCCGGTTGCAGCCTCGAAGGTCGCTCCAGTGGACAAAAGAGGTAAAAGAAGTCTTTTCATCAGGGTCAGGAGATGGACACTTTGTTAGGTATGATTGTAAGAATCTTTCCCCTTCCCTGGGATTCAGCGCAAGTAAACACAGGGAGTTATATAAAGTGGTTTCCTGAGAAGAGACAACTTTCCTGTTTAGAGCTATGGGCATTTTGGCCTGCTAAGAACAATCATTCCTCGTGTATAATGCGTTAGAGCATTTTTCCTGTAACAGAATTCTGAAAGTACGGGACTAAATATACCAAGTCCCATATTGTCAAGATATGCAACTGTTAAAAATTTTCATCTTATTAAAATTCATTTTATTGTTAAAACTTGAGTTTGAAGTTCATTTCAACCCGGTGTCACAACCCAGGTTTTGTGTAGCAGTTTCGGCCACTACACCACAAAATCTTTTTAAAATACATTAATCGTCCTGTTTATTTGAAAGAAAAGCAACTCAAGGTCAGGTATTTCTCTTTTGAATAATTTCAAGTATTGCAGTGAAAATTTGAAGAAGCGTTTTATATTTGTAGAGTTAATGCTCCAAGATCAGATTTATTTCTGTATGTTTACATTCTGTTTTGTTTTTCTGAATTTTCAAATGAATATTAGGTTAGAATGGAATAGCAAGCAACTTGTTTCATCTCCCAAAGCATTGTTATTAAAGATTTTGATGGTATCTATGTGGATTAGATTATTATTTCACAGATATCACAGGAACGTTTTTGTCTTGCAAGTAGTATGTGTAGTGGGGTTTTAAGAATGCTTTGATTGATAAGTTAATGTAGTTATATATTTGTGTATTATTTTACATTGTTTTATGTTTGTTTTTTGTGTTACGTTAATTTTGTCTTATTTATTATTTATATTAATATCTGTTTATATTATAATTTTTATATGTAATTTAATATTTTATAATGTCTTAGTGTATGATGTTTTATATAGATAATCATTTGTGTAAGTAATGCTGTAGAACAAGAGAAACTTGAAATTTGCTAGGCATGGCTACAAAATGTTTTCTAATTCTGCGGAAATCGAAAAGATTTCTATTGATAAGTGTTAGAACATCCTGAAATAATTTATAGAAAAACCTCAGATTTCCTCCTTGTACATCCAAGTCTTGCAGAAAACTATAAAAGTATGTATGACTAGTTAGTTAGTGCAGTAATAATGATGCAGTCAATGTTTTGAGGCTTTTCTCAGTGAAGTAGAGTGCAACTTTATTGGGACTTCTGAATCTCAATGCTCTGCATTTTCAGTTTGATTTTTCTGTACTGTGGTTGATCATGTATTTTTGGAGCTGTGCATTAATACCACTACCCAGTATTAAAGATATTTATAATATTCTTAGTACTATTTAAAATTCTCATGTTTTCCCAAAATTATTATTGCTTAAACTGTAACAAAAGTCAAGTTATCGTCCATCTGTTTGCCTCCTTATTTGAGGAATCACATAAGACCAGCTTGTGCACAAAAGAACGTGGATATTTTTGTGAAAAAAAGCAGCAAGTAAATTCTAATAACTGATATATAAAATTCTGTTCTTCAGTTTTCTTGAAGATTTAAGATTATGAAATATAATTCATGTGAAATACTTTGAATATGAAATATTAATTTTTATAAAATTGAAATTATACCTGTAAAAATCATAAATTTATTATTGTTATTATTATTATTTTTTGGTACGCAAAGGTCCATCTGAAAGTCGAACATCATTAGGCATACAAGCAGCAATCCAAAGAAGGCGACGGCCCAAAAGACGTTCCACCGGTGTTGTTTACTTAGATAGTGATGTGAGTCTTATTATTTTTAATAAGAGTAAATTTAAAAAGTACAAAGAATATGTGGATAAGTTATGCTAAAGAGTTACATTTTTAATAGCTTTGAAATTTTTAAATCAAGCAAAATTAAAATTAATAAATTGACTTAAGTCAATTTTAATTAAATTAATAAATTATAAAAATTAATAAATTATAAAAATTATTAAACTGATTTTAAATAGCCAGGAGTTTTCTTTAAGAAGTGTTGCTGCTATTAACTACATTAAAGGAATTTTCATGCAACGCTTGTTGCTTTAATTCCGCTATTGCATATTAGAATTTTTCTGATTTTTACGTTATGTGAGCTAACATACATATTGATGTGAACATATTGATACATATTTGTGTGAAATGTCCACTGCAAATAACTTCTGTATGCATGTATCAGTAATTAGCTTAAATTTATTCTTGAAGGACGCACAAGAAGAAAAGGAGAATACAAATGATAAAGACTGTAATTCTCAAACGGAAACTGTAAGTATTATTATAGTTAATGAAAAACTGAGCATTAATCATTCTCTATTGAATTTTATTATACTATTTTCTTATGCAACAAGTACTGTAGGCTTTGACAAGTTTTGTATGTAAAGGAAAGGTTTGTTATCATTTTTTCATGTTTCGTTCAATATGGCATGTGGCGTCAGTTTTACTTATTATGCATAAATTATGTAAAAATAATTTTGGGTTAAAAAAATCTTTCATTAAAAGTGTTTTTTTTTAAAGCTTAGCGTTTATTAAAGTTGAAAGGCACTCATCTCAGAATGAAATATAAATGCAAATATAATAACGTACTGTAAATTTAAAAAAAAATAGAATAATAGGCAGGTGAAGATATTAGCCTGGGATCTTTCAAATGGAATCTGTGGGATGTAGCTGTGCATATATTATGACCAAGTAGTTTTGATATTTAACTTATAATAATTTTACAATTACCAAATATTTTTACACAATGTGTCTTAAAATAAATAAAGATAAGATAATACAAAGAAAAAACGAAAACATTTCAACAATTTTTTTTTTTTAATAATATAAGCATTCATTTTACTTGCTTTGCATGTGATGCTGGTCATTTCGTCTGTTACTTATTTAAAAGTTTTCACATTATTCTATACCTTAAAATTAGAAATCAAAGTTAAAGACCTAAAACTGCAATAGTATGTTACAGTGCAAGTGAAAAAAATGACAGTTTCACTGACGCATATGTTGAATTTGAACAATGCTTATGGGGTTGCGAAGAAATCTCCGTGATAAAAAAGAGCCACGATTGAAAGAAGTTTTAAGCAGCCTTGCCTTAGAGTTCATCATCATATGAGCCTTCTTTCTACTCATGTGTTGATGATTGTTTGCATGCTGAGCAATTTGCATGAAACTCAAAACATTTTTCCTTTTGAAAAGTACGAGTGTTGATTGATGCTCTGCCACTCAAAATTGCCAAGCACAGTTCTTTAATATTATGGAACTGTTATTCTACCATTCTGTTGCTGTTCTACTTTGAAAATTTGAGAATAATAAAATTTCTTGTATGTTGATATTTTGACATTCTTTTGTTTGCTAAAATTCCTGAATAAGTAATATTCTGTTGATGTACTGCAAATGTTATTAATACGCCATAACATGTATGCAATGAAGCAGTTGAGTGATGTGATTATTTGTTTCAAAGTTTTAGAAATTAATCTAAAAGTTATCTAATTTGTTGAATATAGGAAGAAAAATTATGTAATCGGTTAAATATTAAAAAGAGAGTGGCTCTAATAAAAATACATTGTTAATTGGTGGTTTTCATCTCATTCAAACTTGGAAGGGAGATAAAAATCCTAAAAGATGAAATTTGTATGTAACAAAATTCAGCTTTTCTGAAGAGTAGGTGAGCAGCCTGAAATTTTGAGGAGTTAGTGTAGTTTCATTCAAAGTTACATTCTTTCTCATTTGTTTCACTTTTAAAAAGGCCCACCAGCGGCCGAGCGGTAAAGTCGCTGAACACTGGTAGTTTGGTCCAAGGTTTGAATCCATGAACGGGCTGGCTGCATGGGTGTTTTCGTGGTTTTCCCTAGAAACTCCTCCACGAAGTCATTTCTACCCTTAGGCAGATAGCCCTAGTGTGCTTTACCGTAATCTCAATAAACCAAAGCAACTCAAACCATACCACTTTTAAATACCAGATGTGCTCCTTGGTTTCCCAAAATTGTTTTGAAGCTTTCACAGTAACTGGCAGTTAATATGACTGCATGTAAAGAATCCGGATGCATTTTTATTTGCATATCCTTGCAAAATTTATCACTGTTATGTTAGTATGTAATCATTTATTGCGTTTCCCCCAATTTTTATTTAATATTGAAAATGTTTACATTCGTGTTTTATAAAAATGGTGCTACAAAGTGTTAAACTCTTCTGAAATGTCTGTATTATGTTCTCTATGTTTACCATATTTTGTAACTATTGTTATTTGTAATTTTGAAAGTAAAATTATGACATACTTTTCAATGTAAGCACAGCGTTTTGGAATGAAAGAAATTAATTTCCTGCAAATCAGAAGTGCGTATTAATTTTTATTTGCGTGAAAGTTTAGATTCTTGCTGCTAGGAAGAACTACTAGAATTGAAATAACACAAACTATGTGAACTTGCGGTACTTTTTAATTTTGATTTCAGCTTGGAATGCATTTTCAGCTATTTTATGTGTTCATATTTTGGAAGGGGGTGCCTACTCATTTTTACAAATTATTTGATATCTGTTTTATTCTCCTGTACTATTTCTATGCTAATTGAACATTTGCCCAGTAAGAAATTAAATTCAGTAAAAACATTCCTCACAGCATTAGCTGTTTTTTTTTTTTGTTGCATTAGCTGTTTTTTTTTTGTTGGAGGGGGGGGGAATGAGGTTTAAAGGCATAGGTTAAGTTGGTGTTTAGTGCAGTGTTCACTTGATTACCTAGTAGCAACATCTATATTTGCTATAGAGAGCAAGTTGCTGTTTCAAAAGCATTGTTAGAGTTATTGATTTTAGCCAATAGATGGATCAATAAATGAAGGTTGATGTTCATGGATGCTATGCTAGAGGGTGAGGACAGAACCTGGTTGCACTGAATCTATGACAAGGATGCCTTTCGCATTTGAGCTAAAAGTTGCTCCTAGCTTCAGCATATTAGTGTCAGCCCACCAGCGGCCGAGCGGTAAAGTCGCTGAACACTGGTAGTTCGGTCCGAGGTTCGAATCCCCGCGAACGGGCTGGCTGCATGGGCGTTCGTGGTTTTCCCCATGTGTAACGTGTATACGAGCCAGTTTCCCTTAGAAAGTCCTCCACGAAGGCATTCCTCCCCTTAGGCAGATAGCCCTCGAGGCTTTGTCACAATCACACACACACACACACACACATATTAGTGTCATTAATGAAGAGTAAATCGCTGGAAGTAAAACTTGCCTCTATACGTATTTGAAAATTTCAAATAATTTTAGTATATGGGATTGAGAATATTTTCTATGCATAGTTTATTAACTTAGGTCAATGAATAAGTCATATATAAACTATTGCTTTTGTGGGAGGCTTGAATCAAGTTTATTACTAGATTCGGAAAATGAATTTTTTATATTTTGGAAAAACTTCTCTTTGACTAATGCTTCCTCATTTGAATTAATAATAGGAGAAGTCTTGCTTGCTAATTCATCTTGTGAAATGATAATTATTTTTTATTTGTTTATTATTTTGTGTTTTTGGCAGAAGTATATTTTTGTAAACAATGCTAAATTTAAATTTTACTGCAATGGACTGTATGGCAATCCATCCGTAAACTTTCTTCCTACTTAATATATTAATTTACTTCATATAGTATGAGAATTGTTTTTGCACATGGACAGCATAAAGCAGTTCCCTGCTTACTCCCAGACCATATGTGCATTTTCATTCTGATGGTTTAAGCATGAAATTTAGCAGACTGCAGTCAATGGCTCTATTGTTTTGAACAGTGGCTATCATATTGAAGTATGATGAAGCTGATAAAGGCTATCCGCTTAAGTTTAGAGTGCCTTCATGGAGGACATTTTATGAGAAACTGGGTCATATTCATGTTACACAAGGGTAGAACCATGAAAACCAAAAGTTCAGCCAGCTCATTCATTCACTAGGGTTTAAATCCAGAATAAACTACTTGTATTCAGCAGTTTTAATCACTCAGCTATTGTTACTGGTGTTTGTATACTGCATATTTGCCTCAACAGATGTACTGCCAGTTCTTCACTTGACAGCCCACCAACGGCCGAGCGGTAAAGTCGCTGAACACTGGTAGTTCGGTCCGAGGTTCGAATCCCACGAACGGGCTGGCTGCATGGGCATTTTTTGTGGTTTTCCCCATGTGTAACATGTTCCTCCCCTTAGGCAGATAGCCCTTGAGGCTTTGCCATAATCACACACACACGTCTTCACTTGACTCAACTGCATACCGTTTGTTGATTTACATTGTGATGACAATATACGTAATACAAAAAACTTTAAACCTGCTCTTTCTCCTTACAGCCCTCAACACACATATGTCCCTCAGGTGTTTAAACATCCCTCTTCAACCATGCATTCTGTAACAGCATGCTAAAAGCAGAAAACAGGATTAATAGTCGAAGCAAAATTATAGAAAATCTCTCTTTTTTTTTCATGCTTTCCTTTCCTCAATTCACATTATGTAAATTTTAAGCATAAGTCTTAAAGAATAGAATTAGCCCTTTACACATGTTTTGCAAGAGATCCAATATATATTAAACCAATATCTGGTCATACTCTTTCCTTTGAAAGAAAACAAAGCTGAAGAGCTAGTGTTATAAATTAATAAACAAAAGTTTATTAATTTAGAAGTAAATTACGTGTTAATTTAATATGTGAAAAGGAATGAATTTATTGTTTTTCATTCATTATCACAGATGATGGCTGTTACCAGACTGAGTTATTAGATTTTCATTTGATCAGGTTTCATTCACGTATTTCATATGCTAATTATGATTTTTTTTCTTATTGAGAAATTTGCAAAACAAATTAACAAGCCTTTGATTTCCTTTGAATTTGTACAATATTCATTGTTTAAAATACATGTGTACAACGTATAGGTGAAATCTCTTAACTAATACACTACTTAAGTAGTCAATGATGAATAGGTCACTCTTGGTATTGCCTGATTGATCTGGAACATAGGCGAATCAAGAGCGTCCGCTGATCATGAGTCAGATCTAGAAGTAGTCAAATAGTTAACACCATTGAATGTTGATAGTTCTTTCAGGGTTTGAACTCAGATGAACAGGTTGAGTACATGGTAGGTTATCTTGCCTTTCCACATGCGTAATATAAGCACGTTTAAGCACAGAAAACTTCCACAAAGGCATCTTTCCCAGTAGGCAGATTTGTAACATTCTAGTAACCTAACTTGAATCTGGAATCATTGGGACTTCAGTCATTCCAGATTTTGGATATTTCAGATTTTAATTGTCAGTTTAAATCTA